CTGGCAGTATAAGGACCTGCTCAACGCTGAGCTGGTCCAGGACACTGTAGCATCACTATTTCTAGCTGATAAAAGGGCAAGCTCAATCTACCTCCACAGTTCTGTGAAAACTCCTACAAGCTGACACATGAAATGGCCTTAAAGATGCTGTTCGCTGCAGGATTATAAACCCGGATCACCACCGTCTTCCCTCTTGCAGCAAGAGCATCGCACTGAAGGGCAATGATCCATCTCTTACAAGGATGGGGCAGGGAGCAAAGGAAGAAGCCTCTTTAATCAATTAAATCCCAGCTTGGTCTGAGCTTGCAAAGAACATCCCTTGGTCACCCCCCCAAACAAAATAAAACTCCCTATGGGTGCAGAAGGTGTTGGAAATGGAGTGCAGAGACACATGCATGGTACCCAAGAGTGTGCTGGATGCTTAAACATTAAAACCTGTGGTTCTATTCAGTTCTGCACCTGCAGTTCTCAGCTTCATGGCTGGGAAAGGGATGGATTCAGGGATGGGACCACAGTGACAGGAGCTAGAATTGTCCCAGGCAGCACCTGGGTACTGAGGGGTGGCTTCCAGTCTTGTGCCTCTTGCAATCTCAAGAAGACCTTTCTGGAGTCAAAGTATTTTTAATTAGGACTAAATCATTAATTATGATTAGTAACTTTAGCTTTTAAAAAAGTGTGAAACAACCAATCACTTTTACCCCACTAACTATGGGTGGGGAAACATATATCTAAAGGAAACCTGGTGTGCTTGGCAAAGCTTTCCTGCTGCCTACATCAAGGCAGGCATAAGCTCAGTGATGACCTGCGGTGCGACGGAGCTGTGCAAGGATGGCACCTCCCGAGATCTGTACCTTTGGCCAAACCCTGGAAATCCGGCTGGCCAAAAGTCCCTTGGGTTCAAGTGCTGGAGGCAAACCTGCACCAAGAAACAGCTGTTTCTATGGATTGTAGCTTGGAAGAAGAGCTTAGGCTTTTGGGATTGCTCTTTTTTTTTTTTTTTTTTTTAAGTTGGTTTACCATATATTTATCCCATCTATAATCTCCCTTTGCCTTGCATCTCCATTTTGAATTATTTATCATCAGGTATCACATTCATTTGCATACTTTATGAGGTGCAAACCAAATGATTAGTCATTACATATTAGACTTTCCCAAACCATCTGTGCCAGGCTCTGCAGCAGTTCTGGTTTGGTTTTCTCTAGTACCTGGGGGGACCGGGGAAATCCAAGGGGAGAATATTGGATGTGCTGGAAACACGGAGTAAAATACTCCACATGCTTGCTGACAGCAAAGCCTTATTACTCTGTTACAGCCGTGCTCCGCAAGGAATGTGCAGACTATCAGCTTCAGCGTAATTTAACCGGTGATACAAATTGCAAGCAGTATTATTTCAAAGACCTTTATTTATTGATTAGAAACAAAGTCCTTATCCTCTTCCTGCTCCCTCCTTGAGTCGTGCTGATTGCACACAATAGAGAGCTATCACTTAAAGAGCCAATTAAGTCAACTTCTGAAAGGTAATTGAATAGCTGAAATTCTTAGTGCAATATTGTACTGCATTATCTTGATTGAAACGAAGAAAAAACAAAGCAGTTAGAGCAGCAAAAATTAGAGAATGAGGCATTGGCCATAGGTAGGAATACCGAAATGGATGGTCCCATTACAAAAAAAAACCCCGAAAGACAATGATTTTCTTTCAGCGGTTACTTCTAACCCCTGCCAGAGGTGTGAGAAGGGAAAAAAAAAACCCAAACTTGGTCTTGTTTATTTTCTGCACTTGGCAGGACTTTACGAGGGGTCGGTTGAGCTGTTGACCGGGTGCAAAGAATGGTGTTGGCCATGGCCACCCCAGCGCACCCCACCCCAGGGGGGAACCCAACATCTGGGTGTCCCATACTCAACTGAAAGCTTTCATTCAAGCATTTCTTTTGGCTGGGGCTTTACGAAGATAACGCCTTCTGTATGGGTTCACCCACACTTGACTGAGGAGTTCATACTATCCTTTAGCAGAGCCATCAACAGACCTTCTCTCTTCTGCCCTCCTGGCTACCTTCAAAAGCACCTGGAGGATTTTACATCACCTCTGGGATTTCCATACCATGGCTCAATTGGGCTAAAGCAAGACTAGACCTGTTAGGAAGGACATAGCTTCAGTCCCTTAGATAAACCAAGCTTAAACAAACAAAAAAAAAACCAACAAAAAAAAAAGGGTGGGGGGGCAGAAAGTGATTGTAAGCCTGCCAATACTCAGAAGTTATATAAAAGCACTCATTTACATGCAGTAAAAAACCACATCACAAGCTGAGAGAAGAATCCTCAGGAACTTGAAGATGTTGGCTGTACGTGGTCAAAATTCACCATCAATTTTCAAGGAACTACCAAAGTCACAGCACTCAGGCTATAAAGCATTTACACAGGCACATAAAAAGGAAGGTTTTCCCAAAGTAGGAAAAGAGGCATCACAAAACATAAAAATCTCCCTCTTTCTTCTGCACCGACAGCAGACTTTGGTGTGACCTACCACCCCTGTCCTCCAGCCCCTTCATCTGCTTGGGTTTCCACAGCAGCACAATCAACCCACCCAACCCAACCTCGGAGCAAATTAATGGCCAACTGCTGCTTTCCTGGAGCTGCTCTGGCACCGTCTGCCTCCCCACACGTGTATTTTGTCTAGCACTGGAGTCTTGCTGAAGAACATACAGCGGAGCGGGGTGAGATGCTGCAGCACGGATGCTTTCTCCGGTTGTCTGCCCAACAGCAACCACAGCGCTTGAGGTCCTTGTCCTGAGCCCCACCAACTTTCCAGCCCAGTACAAGCACAGACCTCCTGGAACAACCCAATAAATGCCATTCCTCCGCTAGCAAACATGCCAGCAGTGAAATGCAAACCCATCCTTCTGTAGACGTGGCTTCTGCACTTGAGGGGCTGCAGGAGGGATGGTCAGAGGGAGGTTTCAAAGGGATTTATGCACCTTGCAGGTTGGGAACCTCTCCTGTGCCTTGATTTCCCACCTGTGAAATGGGCTGAAGGATACCCAGCTGACTTTGTACAGAGTTTTGCTTTTCATCACCCTACTTCCATGTCTAGGAGCCCGGTGCCACCACCCTCAGCCTGCTGCTCTGGGGCTTCGGGAGCTGTCAGTCTGAGCCAAAACATCCATTAATCCATCGGGAATTTGGCAGTATCACGTAACTAACCTCTGAAATACATGTGGTACCAACATTTGCCACCGGGCACCAGAAATACGGCATTAGCACATACCACCGAGTCCTGCTCAAACGTACTCATTTTTGTCAGTCGCTCCCCAGTTTATGTTGCAATTATTTCTGCAATTTCCACTGTAAGCCAGGATACGATTTTAAAAGCTTGAACAATTTTTTCAAACCTGAACAGCCTTTACGCTAAAGAAGCCAGAAGGAAGCCTGGGCACTCAAATAAACCCCAAGACTCCCAGTCCTCAGACAATACTCCATAAAACGGGAGCTTTAGTTTTTCTTAAATCAGCAGACTGAAAGCTCATCAAATACAGCAAAGCACCAGCCTCTCCCTGCTCAGTCAATACTTGAGACTTGTTCTGTCTTTTCAAAAGCTCTTTTCAGTTACACAATCAAAAAAAAAATCTGTAAGGACTATATCTACAACAGCTCTAAAAATTGTTCGTACTTTCCCTGAGAGCTTACGTCAACTCGTCGGACGGAGAAACCAAGAGGAGAACAAACATTTCACGGAGCAGCCATTGCACATAAATAACACGCCCTGACACGGATGCACCGTGAATACAATTACATCCTCACATCAATTACTAGTACACTCCAGAAACACCGTTTGTAGAAGACAAACAAATAAACAAACAAACGTAAGCTGGAAATAAGAAATTATTTGGCATTCTAGCAAGCCACTTCAACTTATTATTTGCTGAGACACATTGTGCTGGTTCGTATTCCAATAACACATCCGTGTAACCGCACAGGTACAAGGGAAGCGTACAAATCATCTCTCGCAAAACAACCGTTGGCAAAGAGCAGGATTTGTGTATTCATTGCTCACCACTGAACAGTTACATACATTTTAATTCTGACCTCAAACACAATTTGCACCACGGCAGATGTTTCCTACAGCGCAGGCTTCCTTTGGATGACAGTTAATTCAGTTTGAACATGGCAGCAATGAAGAAAGGGATTTAAACATTTTCTGCTTATTCTCCAAGCTTAATACTGCAGAGGTAAAAATGAAGGAATACTAAATTGAACAGCTAAACTTGTTTCTCCCAGCCTCGGCTCTGAATTCAGATCAGCCCAGTCAGCCTGCACTTCCCCGTCACCCAGGACTCCCCTCTCTCTGAGACCAGCCTGTGTCGAAAAGAAATTAAATTATTTTAACAAGGTTCTGCCGAATGCGCACACTGATGTAACCCAGAGGAGAATACGCCTCTTGTTTTAGGCTGGTTAAGTTTCACCAAAAAAAGGAGGCACGCTCCTCTGCAAAACTCTTCTTCCTCGGCCCTTGTTACCCTCGGCAGCTCCCTCCTGTTACTCTACATTAATAAGCAGACCATTATTTCACCAGCCGCAATCAAAACCTTCCGTAAGATAAGATCCAACTGCAATTTTACATTCACATAGCTGCCCATACTGAAGAGCCCCGAAATGTTGTTAACGAGTTGTATGCAGAGGGATCGCCTCTTCGCCTATCGGCGGAACGGGCTTGGGACGTGACAGCTGCTGAAATCGTGCACAGGCAAACAGTTTAAGGGGAAAAGAAATACTGTAAATAATTGACATCACGGCAAGAAATGTAGGCAGAGCAGAGGTAAAGAGGGCGACTCAGAGGAGTCTGGCAGCAGGAGAAGAGATCAGGACTTCTCCTGGAAGTCAAACTAAAGAAGAGTGCACGTACAAACAGATCCACACCTTCTCACCTGTGCACTACGCCACATACCAGAAGACAAAAGAAGTTCTTGACCTTTTCTGCACTGCTTGGCAATCCAAATTTTACCCACCTACGAGCAGTCTCTTGCCAACATCTTCCTCTTTCCTCCTCTCCACCAAGCTGATGCAAACGACCCCCATGCTCGTCCCCAGCACTGCAGCAATCTTGGTCACCAAATAATGCTGATGAGTAGACGTGGATTTTAAAGGGTCAATCCTGCCATTGATGATGGCCTCACCTACATGGACTCACTTCTCCTAGCCCAGCCTTTCATGGTGAAGCTATGTGGAAAGCTTCCCCGTGCACCCAGCACGTTCGGGGCACACCAGAGAGGATCCTGCTCTCAGCTGGGGCTGCTGAGCACCACGGGGTCACCATCAGGGGTAGCTGCAGAAATGACCACCTTTGGTTTGAAGGCTTCAAGAATATTTAACCAGTGCTCTGGAACAACAGATGAGTGCTTATAGTTTCAATCCCAGCAGTAAAACACCTCCTTTGATGACTACAGCTGCTACGAAGGGCTAAAGGTCATCATTTTGCCTGACCTTTAACTATTACAGCAATACTTAGTGACCTGCATTTTAGAAGTTATGAACAGACAACACTACTCAGGCTAAGCAATCTGCCACTGCCTTGACAGATTTCCAAAGAGACGTGAAGTACCTGCCTTTCTCAAGTGACTTGTACGATGCACACACAGAGAGCTCTGCAGATACCCAGAAAAACCCACCGTTTCCCTCTGGGTACAGCTCACCCAAGCAGGAGATGGAAGGAGACAGTTTATTATGCTCTGTGGAGGCAAAAATTGGCACAACAGCTCCAGGTACCACTTCATCACAGCACAGCGTTGAAGAAAGGAGACTTCAACTAGCAACTCAGCTAACCAGACACCTTTAAAGAGGAGCGAGTAATGAGATTTCTTAGCGAGTAGTTCATTCAAGGGGCGTGCAGTGACACCAAGAACGAGGTAAAAATCCCCATTAAGATCTCTGTGCAAGTCAAGAGCATGTAGGAGGGCTGGTGTTCTCAGAGATAAGATGGGTATCTTGCCTTGCACAGCAATCAATCGATTTTTAGGGGTCAACTGCCAGACCCCACCAGACTCCTCTTGCAGAACGTGGGCGGTTTTAGGGCAAAAGCCTGCACGAGGCATCACTGTTAAAGTTCAGCCCTGCTCCTAGAGCCACAGGACTACCAACTGTGACCAGGAGGTGAAGAAACCTTGATAATGACTCTTCTGTGCAAGCAATTCAGTTTAAGAGCTGCTGTTCAAGAAGCATGTCACCAAGATGAAAGGTGACCACATTTCTTAAACATGATTCATTTCTTAAAGAGTTTTCCAGAGGCAGCAAGGATCCCATGAACCCTCTTGTCTACACACAGCCCTGTAGGCAAGTGCCTCATCGGGGTGTGCCTAATGGTGTATCAGACCCTCATCCAGCCTACCTGTCCCAAATCCAAGCCTAGTATGGGAGGGCTGAGCTTCACGTGCCTCTAAGGACATGCTCTGGTTGGGACAGGCAAGTGACAGCTCACGGTGGTGTGAACAGCAAATCTGGTGTCAAGAGCAACTTCTAGTCCAGAGCAAAAATAGGCATACCAACTCCTTGGATTTCAGCGCAAGACTGGCCCTTGTAACCTCTTTGTGCCACATGAAGGAGATTGGAAACCCAAGTCCACCTTTCCTGTTTGACTTCTCATTAAAAGCAAGGGAGCCCTTCTGTACTTCCGAAAGACATCTGGACCTTAACGGTACTGTCATGCCAGCAAGAAAAGATGGGAACCTTGCAATTCAACAGGGTCTACCCCTGAGAAACTACATTTGGGCACTCTCCACGCGGTGAATGATGGAGTTTTTCCTCGACAAGACAGCCACGCAGAGCATCTGTCCTCCAGTGCGCAAAGGGATGATGCTGACTGCCCATCCTCCTCTTCCAGCTAGAGGATGGCTCACAGGCAGCCAGCTCAGCTGAAGTCCCCAGACCTGGCTCCCGTTTTCGGATACACAGCCTGGCTCACCGAAGGATGCTGCAGCTGGTTCAGGCAAGCCTCAGTTCGCTTAGTGCGAGGCTGGAGAGAAACGACTCTCCGACAGCTGGCAAATGCAGCTGCCTGCAGCTGATGGGGGATAACAAAGAACCAGCCGCTGCTTAGAAGTGCGTTTCTGTCGCCCATACCTCCGAACAGCAGATTTCCTCTGGCCACGGGGTGGTAGAGAACAGAGAGTCCGTAACGCAGATCTCTGAACGCTGGTAACTGATCCAACCCCATCCAAATGTCACGGTTGCTGTCAATACAAAACTGTTCCTTTCTCTTCCTGCCGTCCTCCACTTCATCCATGGGGCATCCATTAGGTTCAAACACAAAGGCAGCAAAGAGCCTACAACAAGAGCCTCATTAACTGACTGTACAACTGGATTTGTTTTGGAGTACAGTGCCGTCCCCCGCACTGCAAGGCAGAGCTCTTGCTGGAGGAAAAAAAATAGATCAAATTAAAAAATATCTTGCATACCTTAATATTGCAAGCAGCTCTTCCGTCAGACTTAAAACAACAGCATTACCGGCTGTAAAAGGGACAAAAAACCCCAGGAAGTCTCCCAAAACAGCAGACCAAATGAAAAAAGAAACAGATGAAGGAGGTTTCAAATCTGCCCTGGAGAGAATGTGTGTTGCAGCTTTAACCTGCTGCAGGGAGGGTGAAAAAAGGAAACAGGATAACAGAGACCAGAAATCAGATTTATTAGGACCAACCAGGTAGATAAAAGACAGATGATCACCAAGCGATGATGGCTATTTTGGAATCAGCTGACTTCTGAAAATGTCTAGTCAGCTTTAGCATTCCATACACATGAAATTAGTGTCCACACAAGAGTACTCTCCCAGAAGAACAGGATTTAATGCAGCCGAGATAATTATCTAGATCCTTCTTTATCCCATTAGTGGTTTTCATTCGCATCCTGGAACACCATAAGCGGATTGTTCAAGAATTATTTGCCATCCGCTGTTTCAATCCCGATTGGAATTATCTTTATACCTCAGTATGAAGAAAAGAGATTACATCCCTGCCAGAGCTTGCTGCAATGCCCTCTTTTCTGAGGCGCCTTTTATCATTTTCATTCTATAAAGTAATGAAAAGAATCAGAAAACAATTGTCATGGCCATGATCTTGCCCTCTCGTCCTCTTCCTTCCCCACACACAGGTTTGGGAGGAGGAGGAGGAGATGCTCCTCCACCGCATCCCCTGCAGTGGATGCACCACTGCACCTGCACAGGGATGAAGCTCAATGAGACTCGGTCATCAAATTATCCAGGACAGGATCCAGAAATGCTCCCAGCTTCCTTTTTGCACCACGCTCCACTAATAAAAGAACAAGGATGAAACTGTTAAAACCAATTAAACAAATCAGTTGATGTAAGAGAAAGAAGTGGGATTCACTGCACCAGAGATCCCAGGGGCGTATGCTAAACGTCGCATCCTGCGCTCTCTAGTAATATATGTCACTATGCAAGCTCCGATGGAGATAAAGCCAGCATCATTCAAACGGCCGACACAATCCCTTCCTTCAAGGCCTAAAACAAAAAGACAACAAAATTCCCCTCCCGGCCACTCTAATCTCCTGCCAGGTTTTGTATTAATGGAAGAATTCAATCTCCTTCCAGGTATGGCGAGGACACAGCTCATCTCCCGACGGGCATCCGCGAGTCTGCCCAGCAGCGAGTAAAGATGCCTGGCTGTCACAAAAACTATCCCTCCTCCTTATAGAAACAGGAGGAGGTAGGTATTCAGACCCGACAGCAATAGGAATGCATGTATTTTTTTTAAAAAGCATGCTTTACGGCTGTGTAACGAGATCTGTAGGAGAGTTATCTTTACAAACAAGTTATTAAAAGGGGGAAGAGGGACACAATAATAGCAGGTGCCAATTACTCAGCTCCCAGCAGAGACTTTCCAATTTCTCACCTTCCCCCAAAGCACGATGTGTTGCCGCACGGCATCACCTTCACTTCCACGTCTAACACCCTCTCGGAGTATCGCTCCTCTCCCAAAAAGCACAGCCGCATCGCTGCTGTGCCGCCCCACCAACCCTGCCCCAGAGTTGAGACCAATACGACATGAAAGTTTTTGTGAAACAGCAGAAAGTAAATAAAATTATCTTTTTATTTGACTCCAGAATCCGGCCACCCCTCCCGCCAACAAGAACAGCAAATTTGTGAGCTAATTGAGACTGCCAGGTTTGCATCTCTGCAAATATCTGCTTAGTTTCAGGAACAAAATGCCGGTAACGATTTTGTTATTTTAAGACGGCGGCATAGTTTCAGACAGTAAATGTCCACATTGCAACTGGAGCCGTCAGAGAGATCCCATCCTCTGAGGCAAGCACACCAAGGCAATGATTAATATTACAAAAGTAATCCGAGCCTTTAAAATCATTATTTCCAAAATCAGCAAATAATTACCAAGGCCTTCAGCAATCAATACTCAAGATAAACAGACAATTAAACTGCAGAAGAAACAGAAGAAAGTAGTTAATATTCGCCAAACACAAGCCAAATACACTTCTTCGTGGTAACCAAACACTTCCAGTAAATAGATATTTGAGCTCACTGGAGAGGCACTTTCAGAAAGTAATAAATTAATCTAATAAAACAGACAGACAGGGTGGAACCAGACATTAACGAAACACAAACTGATCTATACGGAGCCAACCCACAATCCATGTCCTAATTACGCTCATCCACAGCCCTGGGTACTTACCTCACCCACCCAGGTCAGCTCTTCAGCTCGGGGAAAAGACACGGTTCACGCAGACTCGCTGGCACGACAAAGCAGAGAATTTTAGCCATCAAATGACGAAGTTTGTGCTCAGCTAGAATTTGCATTTCCAATTTTTTTTCTAAATACTTCTCGCTCCTCAAAGTCAGCCAATTAATCTCCTTTTAAACATGGTTCTTGCTTTGCCTTCAAATTTAGTTTAAGCTCCATCCACGAGGTGCGGGACGGGCTCTCACCACCCGGCAGTGCCAGTCGCCCACGCGCGATGCCCGTGCAGGCATCCCCACGGCACGTCCCCACTCGGGAACCGAGTGGGTTTGTCCTGGGGGGCTGCGCCCTGCCTCGCCGTCACTCCTGGGACCCGGA